CTTACTTATTGGTATTAATTTTCAGTAAAGTCCTCTAAAGCCACAGTGTTTAATTATCTACCTGGTTCCCGAAGAAGATAAGCAGGCAGAAAGTGGCAGGAAATAATCATCTCTGTTTTTAACTTTAGTCAGAAGAAATAATAGTGACACTCTGGTTTGGAATAGCTGAACAGGATCGTGGGGCTCATAAACAAGTCAACTAGGTATTCAAAATGAAGAGTAAAACATTGTGACTTCTTTCAATATTGGATATACCCAGTTCCCTGTGCCATTCGGTTATAGTTTGGAAATTTCATCTTTTATTACAAATATTTGAGATCATGCATATAGTTGCCTCACTCACTTAATTTGGATAGTAGAGAGATATGTATTCGCTGCTTCAAATTTGAAAAACTTTTGTAGGCTCTTGGTGCCTTGATCACACAGAGGTGGAAAACTCTGGCAAGAAGCAGATGATCATCCAGGTCTGCCTTGGAATGGTACCTGCTGTCTCAAATTTCCACTTCCTCTCGTTGGCTTTTCACTCTTTACTCTTTGTTCCTCTCATTGTCATTCTTATCTTGCTTTCTTAGATATTAGAAAGAGATTATTCTTCTACCCAGGCATAGTCATAAGGACGGAAGGTTTGTGTGGTTGATTCTAGAAAGACTTGTTCTCTGGGGCATCTTCTCTGAAAGCCTGAGAATTGGCCCTGCTGCTTAGTGTGCTTCTGTTCCGGTGGTCACAGCCAATGCCACCACATGATGGCAGTCAGGTCCCATACTCCCAGCCTTGCCTCACTTCTGCAGTGTTGCGGCCTTTTTCTCATACAAATTTTGCTGTCACATGAAAGAAGAGTTGTTGGCCGACTTTAAAACAAGAATCCCTGTTAAAATTCAAAATAACAGGTTACGGTTTTCAGAACAGTGCTGCTTTAGTTAGGCATCTTACATATCGAGCATGTTGCTGCGACTTTCCTTTCTGTGTCCCTCTGTGTGCATTGTTCCCACGTCCCCAGAGGAAGCCTGAAAAACAAGGAAGGATAGACAGAAAAAGGGAGGCCCTCTCCCTGAGTGTGGAAGGCTATCGTCTTTAAACTCTGGGAAGATGCAGAATCTCAGGAAATGTTTTTCCTACGTCAATGAGACAGTGTAGAAAAAGCACTTGTATTTTGACTGTTTATTACTTGTAGAAGCTCAGATGGTGAAAACCTGGAGAGTCCAGTATGGTGGAATATTGTCATGGTCAATTTCAGGCCCAACTCTTTCCATGTACAAGTGGGCTTTTCTGGCCCAGACTAGATTCTAGCCCCAGGCCCATCTTTATTACCTTCTTGTGACAGCACTTTTAGAAGTTTCCACCATTAATCACTATTTCTGCTATTGCTTGTGGCTCAATTTAGTTTAAATAAACTTATCTCTGCTATACCCCTGAACCAAACTAGTTTATGAAAGATTCACCAGAGAACAGGATAATTGAGACCAGATGTGCTCAGTATCATATATTGTAGTTCACTGAATAGTTACTACAGGCTTGGGATATTTCCATTGCTATTATTGTTTTAGAGGAAGAGAAAATGTCTCTTGAAACTTAACACTTTCACTTTATATGTATTGATATGGGAAAGCTTTGGCTTAAGTTACAAAGACATAGTCTTTTTAGATGATTAGACTGCTCACAGTCCGTAACTTAAAAAAAAAAAAATGAGAGAGAATAAGCAGTACATGATTGAAGAAGAAATACAAGCAAAGAGCACAGACTTTGGAATTATTCAAAATTGGACTCCTGTCCACCTGTCCATGACAGGGATTTTTGTGAACGTTGTTGTCTCTTTGGTAATTGGATGGGCAAGCTGGTGCACATGGATTATAACTACACTATCAGGACATCAGAGAATTACATCACATAAGGGAAATGTTTCCATTTGAGCAATGCTTACTGCAAGGATGTAACCATTTCCTCCTAGCCAAACAGGGAGCACATATACACATGAGAATACAGATGACAATACAGGCTTCTGATGTGGACATATACCATTCATTAAGCTCAGAAGAGAATCTTACTTAATATGCTCATGCCTTGTCTAGAATACTCAACCCTTGTTTAAGAGGTTAAGAGGGAATGTAATATGCTATTTGAGACTGTCTATATAAAATAGGAGGATTAGATGTGAGTTGAGAGCAAGATACTCTTCCCACATGCCTGCTAACAGAGACACTTGGAATTAATATGTCATTTGTGTAAAAGCATAGGAGCCGTGTTGCTATTTAATATAAGAGTAAGCAAAGTCAAGTCCTGTATCAACAGAAGGAAGTGAAAAGGGTCAGGGATGGCTATGAAGTGCCTAATATATGAAAGGCAATGTTCACTGCTTTATGTGCATAGTCTGCTTTAGTTTCCGCAATGATCCCTACGAGGAAAATATCTTCCTGATTCTATAGGGAGGATTTGAGGTAGGAAAATAATATGCTTATACTCACAGATAGTAAGTAGTAGAGAAATGATTTAACCTAGTTCTGTTTAATTCTAACACTCGCTCAAAAGATTTTTAAATAGAAAATCAACCCACAGATTTTTTAAAAGGATATTTGAATGGCTTACATAGGAAAATGATGTTTATTATTATTTTAAAATCAGAACTATTCTAAGAAATATGGACAAATTATGCTCATGTATATTGATTGATTCCTAGCAGGAAACCTTAGTAGGAGGAAGACTGCTGTAAAACAGCCATTTGTTACACCTTATGTCAGAGTCAATTCTTCGTTTATTTCAGTTGGCGATAGAGGGTGCTGTACACCTTCTACATTTTTGCACAGAAGCATACATTTCTTTTCCCACTCCTGCCCATTTACAATCATTACCTACCTTACCTACAATGTAGTTAGCTTAATCTTTTGGTTTTAGTGAAGTTTTGGCATGTGCTCGGTTTAAGATATCTCTGAATTTGTGTTAACAATGCAATTTCAGTTCTATTGTATTTCGATGTGAAATGACAGTGTTACATTACTCAGTGGCTTCTGTACAAAGCAGAAAAGTTTAAAGGATCATTTGTTTATATATATCTAACTAATCTTTTTCTCTGTTAGTGACAGAGATTATGCCACTAATATAGACAAGAAGAAAAAGCACTATTTAAGGAGCAAGCATTAAATAATGGAAGAACAGGATTTTTAAATTTTCAAACTCCATTTGCTTGCTCCACCTGATTCATTTCCCAAACCCTGAGGTTGCCATGTTTCCTAAATGGTTCTTTATAAGGAAGATTTTATTGAATGTATTGAAGTTTATGTTTATTTACGTGGATATGTGAAAATTGCTTTTTTTTTTTTTTTGAGGCAGGATCTTACTCTGTTCACCCAGGCTGGAGTGCAGTGGCATGATCATGGCTCACTGCAGACTAAACCTCCCAAGCTCAAGTGGTCCTCCCACCTCAGCCTCCCAAGTAACTGGGACTACGCCATAATGCCCAGCTAAATTTTTTCTATTTTTGTAAAGATTGGGTCTCACTATGTTGCTGGGACTGGTCTTGAACTCCTGGGCTCAAGCAATCCTCCCGCCTCAGCCTCTCAAAAAGTGTTGGGATTACAGGCATGAGTCACTGCACTCAACTGTATGACAGTATTGTAAACATTATTCCCACAGAATAACTACTGGTATGTTTATGAATACAGTAGGAAGGAGTTAGGAAAAAGATCAAAGACTGTCAGAAGCTTTATTGTGAAAGGTGTAGATTATAAATCAGAAGGGAATTACATTACTGTAGCGTCTGCGTTCTTGAGGAACCTGTATTAGATGGTGTGGTTTGGGCTGCAAGTAACCTCGTGTAGCAAAGTGGGCTGCACAATGAGATGTATTATCTCAGAACGCAAGAAACCCAAAGATACCAAAGATCTGTTTAAGGTTGGTGAATTCAGAGGTTTAATGCTGTCGTCAAAAAACTAGTTCCCTTCCATCACTCAGCTCTCCAGTCCTCAAGTTTGTCCTTCACAATGGCATTATTTATTATTCATGAATCATCTAAAGGCCTGGCGAAAGATTGTCTTTTACTTTTGTTACTATTTAAGAACTATAGAAAATTTTGTCCAAGAGCTCTCTTATTCCCAGCCAACTCCTCTTTGCTCCCCAATGACCTCCTAGAATTGTGTTTCTTTCTCATTCCAAAGCCAAACTCTGGCCAGTGCAAATGGCTTAGAGACCAGGATTTTTCCCTGGGGCTAGGGAAGGACCTTGTGTCTCTTCTAAAGCACACAGTCTTGGATGATTTAATAAAATGGAGTTATGGTAGCAGACATTGTGTGAGAAATGCCTGTTGAGTAGGCAGCCAACATTGTGTCCTAAAGTTGTAGGTACCCTGCTAGAAAATCAGATAGAGAAGTATGTCCTAGGTTTTGCTTTCTGAGCCAAAGGAAAAAAATGCCAGGATTGAAATTGCTTATTATTAATTTAAGTCTTGTTCATCTGTGGATGTTTAAAGATAAAACTATTTTAGATACAGATCACAACTAATCCAGTTATATCCCCTTTATCAATTACCCAAGGCATTTCTTATATCTAATATGTACTTTCCTTGCTTTGAGGTGTGGTGGAGAGGAGGTGCAGCCAGGTAGCAGAAGGGTTCATCTCTGTTTCTTCCTCATTGGTGTCTGGAGAATTATCAAGCTCACTATTTGTTTTTACAAAATGTGAGGTTAGAGCTTGTTGCTAAGGCCTCCCCACCCATTAAATATGTAAAAAATTAAGGTTGTCATCTGTAGAACACCAGGCATCTACCTACCTGCCCTGAGACACACTGCAACCCTGGACAGCCTGAGTAATTTCAATGTATGCAGGGTAATTGACTTTCTACCTGAAGGTAGCCTTGTATACATAATTTTAAACTCTTAACTGTTTATGTAAGGTTGTAAAGACTCATCCACTACCTGCTTTGGGCATTCCTATCATCCTTGTGTTTGTATATAATAAATAGATGACTTCTGATATTACCAGGTAACCAAAGCTTTTGTTTTGCCCATCCTCAGAGAAATGCAGGTCAGCTCCTCCAGTACCACAACTTCTGAGAGTCAAGATCCATCTTCTGGGGACCCTGCAGTCAGTGCCCTTCAACAACAGCTGTTATTGATGGTGGCTCGCAGGACCCAGTCAGAAACCCCCCGGGTACGTACATTCCAGAATTGCTGTTTGTGGATGTTCTAGAAACAGGGAATCTTAAAACCTTTTTCCAGGTTGGATTACCTGACAGAATTAGTCAGGTCTTTCCCTGAATTTTACATCACTGCATTATTGATATATCACTGCAAGGCAGTCTACCAATAAATGTGAAAAGAAATCAGATAGATAGCAGCTAACCAAGACAGCTAATATTGGGTTAGCTAACCTAACCCAATATAACCTTGAGTTGTTATTAACAGGATTGCCACTGTCTCAGTTGCTTTTCAAAATGCATTAGAAATTCATGCATATCGATCTATGGTTGCCAGGATGCAAAAGTCTTACAAGAGCTCACTGGATTAGGTTGCCATTTCCCCCCAATGGTTTGGAAAATATCTGTGTTTTTAAAAATAATGTATTATTGCCTTGTGTATTAAATATTCAAAGATTCTTAAACATTTGACTTAAAGAGAGACTTTATTCTTGGGGTAAGTGACATTATCATCAAGAGGTCTAAAAAATATGAAGCCTTTCATTATTTTACTAAGAGGTAACTTATTAATGTTCATTCATTTATCCAGTCAACCTTTAATGAGACACTTGGGAGGCAGAGCCAAGGATTCAAAGCCAAAGATAACATGGGAGGTTAGTGAAACACCCAGACATGAAGTTAGAGCTGCAGATTTAATTTTGGGCATTTTGGAGGAGGGGAAATGGGGAAGGCTTCTTAGAAGAAGAAATACTTGGGTTCAGCCTTGAAGAAAGATTGGTTTCTATTGGTACAGATTGAGAGAAAAGGATTATAGATGGATGATGTTATGTGAGTGTCAAGTTTCTTTATTTCTGTTTACTTTTTTCCTGGAAATGTTTCAGTTCATTCTAGAAAAGCTCATCTTTGAAAAAATAATATAATTATATATATATATACATATATTTTTATGATCGCTTAGCCACATTTTTCCAAAGCTTGATCAGTAATACAATGGAGCTGGGTGCAGTGGCTCACGCCTGTAATCCCAGCACTTTGAGAAGCCAAGGTGGGCAGATCACCTGAGGTCAGGAGTTCGCGACAGCCTGACCAACATGGCGAAAACCCATCTTTGCTAAAAATCCGAACATTAGCCTGGTATGGTGGCACATGCCTATAGTCCCAGCTACTTGGCTGAAGTACAAGAATCGCTTGAAACCGGGGAGGCGGAGGTTGCAGTCAGCCGTGGTCATGTCTCTGCACTCCAGCCTGGGCAACAGAGCGAGACTCTGTCTCAAACAAACAAACACAAAATACAGTGGGTTGAAATTTATACACCATTACTCAGATGTGCAAAGAAAATGTTGAGTTACCTTTTAGCAGACCACCTATTGCTCTGAGCTCTTATTCCTGTTGATGTGGTGAGTGTAGGGGGGACTTACCTTAAGGGTGCCGCTTGCTGGAGGCAGTGGCTTATTCCTGTAATCCCAGCACTTTGAGAGGCTGTGGTGGAGAGATGGCTTGAGCCAGGAGTTCAAGGCTGCAGTGTGGTATGACTGCGCCGCTGCACTCTAGCCTGGGTGGCAGAGTGAGACCCTCTCTCAAAACAAACAAAAAAAGTGCCAATTAGGGTAATGTAGCCCTTTCGGGCTTGGATTTCTGTGTGAACAAATGTTTAATTTATTCAAAGAACTAGTCTTTTGGGAGTATTTATTCTCTTTCCTTTTAGGTATTCAGGCTCTTTGTCTTTTTTCCAGGGCCTCTGTGCATAAGAGATAGGATTTCTAAACTAGTAGGTAGAAGTGGACCTGGGAGGGGCACTTTTGGTGGGGGAGTATCCCCTTGGCCCAGTCACCGGGTGTACTGTGTATTATATCTCCCTGGTTTGGGTGAGGTGCTGGATCTGCCACTCACTGGCCACCAGTGACCCTGCCATTTGCCCTAGCTGTGTTCTCCACACACCATCACCCTTTACAAGGTCTGTGAGCTCTGCCCAGCCCCACCCTCAGCTGCCAGTACATTGTGCTCACTGCAGCCCTAGTAATGTGGGGGCCCTGTAGAATATGGGTTTTCCTGAGAAACTTGCGTTTTCCCATGAGATAGGCCCAGGGAAGTGCTAACTCCCTACCACCCTCCAGAACATTAGTGTTGAGCCTCTAAGAAAGTTCCATGAAAGTATTGACATAGGTTGGGAAGAGGTAAATTCATTGATTTCATGAGTAGCAGAGCTACAGGAAACAAGAAGCTTTGGATTATCAAAGGTATACGTCCATTGTTAATATCTCAAAAGTATCCCAGCTAGAGCAGAAACTTAAAAATAAGTAAATATTACAAGAATAAATCAGAAACAGTCCAGCCATGCCTTATTTTACATTTGTACTCTTGTAAATGACACGATGATGCTTAAAAACTCAACTCACCTATAGTGTTTCATTGTTAGACACTTAACCAAATTCATTGCTTCAATCGTTTAAACTTCGTTAACTTTTAGTAAAAAATTTTCAAGTTCTATATTCTGTTATATCTGGGGATAGAGGAGGAAAAATGAAGGTCACTGACCAGGCTCATAGGTAGGTAAATATTTCCCTAAGAAAATATTTACAATGGTCTCATACTGGGGAAAAAAATGTAGTTCTACTATTTGTTTTCTAAATATAATTGATATCACCAGGAAATTAAATTAGGTTTCAGCCACAAAATAAAAACTAAGTTGGTTTTCTGCTCATTATCCAACAAATATTTGCTGTAGGATGACTATGCCTGCAGTCCTGTGCTAGAAGCTTGGTCTGCAATGGTGAAAAGACTCAGTCCCTGCCTACAAGAAGTTTAACAGCCAGTCGACCAATTCAACTCTATACGACAGAAATTCTGATTAGAATAGGCTTTGGTGTTGTGGGACACAGAAGAAGCTCCAGGCCAGTAAATAGAGGATAGAGAGTCTTCCTTAGCAAGGTGACACCTCAGCTGAAATCTGGAGGATGAGTTGAAGTTAACCAAATAAAAGGAGATAAGGGTATCCACATAGAGAAATGACCTGGCTAAAGGAAGCAGGTGTGTTCACTGCTTCTGGAGCCTGGAGGCACGGGAGGGCCATTTCTCAGAAGAGACTAGGAAAAGTAAGCAGGAGATAAGTCTCTGAAGACAAGACTTTAATCACCTCCTTCCCCCATCCTTTCTGCCTCTCTTCTTCAAGCGCAGCACCTGAGCTCTGGGGATGCTTCCCCCACAACTTTCCGCAAGCTCTTTCTAGCAAAGGACAGAATTCTACAGGCTCTGATGGGTGGGTGGCCAGGAGGTGAGCCAAGGCCAGAGAAAGACTTGTCTGAAATTCCTCCCTGGTACAAATACAATATGTGTGCAGGGAATGAAGTGGCCCTGAAAGGGAGCTCCCAGGAAGGGCTGTCACTTTTATGAAGGGCTGGTCATTTAAAAAAAATATATACACATACACACACGAGAAGTGGAAGTTCTTTTTCATCATGATAGCTGTAGAGTTTAGCTCTTGAGCACAGAGAGAAGGGCAGAGCTTGGGGCATAGTTGGAACTGGTGAAAATCTGTTTTGGAACTCAAGATTGGCATTCAGGGTTTTGAATATTACCAGTTACAATATTGGGTGAGTCTACATTATAAACTCGTATTTCTCTGTGACTAAATTTATCCATTATGTGCTTCTAACTCCATAGAGTATATTCTGTAGCCTCATTAAATTCTTACATTTAAAATCTTACATTGCCCCAATGTGTTATGGGCCAGTACCTGAGTAATCACCTTGAAACATTTTCTTTATTATACTGCTGGTTGAGAGGCAAGTGAAGTCTACTCAAGGGCCGCATAGAATCTGTAGGAATACAGCATTTTCCTCTTCCATTTACTGTCACCTGGGTATGGTCTCCAACTCATTCAGCTTCTCTTACATTAAAAAATGAGATAGTGTGATATGTGAAAGTGCTTTGTAAACTCTAAAGCTCTGTGCAAGTCTATGATCATGGTATTGTTATTATCATTATGAATAACATGAAGGTCGAGCATTTCATTGGTTCTAAACTGATGAGAATTGGTGAGAATTGCAAAGATGAGTGCAGTACTAGGCCTGACTGTTATTCTAGGTAAATATAAAGGTAGCATTTATATCACAATATCATTAAAACATTAACAAGAACTTATAAAAATATTGGCATTTACTAAAAGATGAAACTGTTGAAATAATGTAGATGAAAGAGATGAGACATCAATTATAATATTGTAGCATTTATTTTTCATCATAGATTCATTTATCTGAAAGTATATTAATACTTTAAAAATAAAAAGTAACATTTACATCTTTTCATTTATCATGTTCAGAAGTTCATTTAAATATGGAGGCTCCTCAACTTAGAATGGGTTTATGTCCCTATAAATTCATCATATATTGAAAATACGTTGAAAATGCATTTAATACACCTAACCTACTGAACATCATAGCTTAGCCTGGCCTGCCTTAAACATGGTCTGAACATTTACATTAGCCAACAGCTGGGAAAAATCATCAAATACAAAGCCCATTTTATAATAAAATGTTGAATGTCTCATATCACTTATCGATGTTCTACTGAACACTTATCACTTTCACAGCATTAAAGTTAAAAAATCGTGAGTTGAACCATTGTAAGTCAGAGACTATCTGTAACAGGTTTAGAATCCACATGATTGGTTATAAATTCTGGCTGCTAAATGTAGCTACTGTTATAACAGTATCATTCTACCTCTAAAACGTATGTTTCATCCCTCAAAGTTTTGTTCACATCTAGATATAATTCACATTCCACTAGTATGTTTTGAACACAAGTTGTGTGCATGGCACTGGGCTAGGTACTCTCATGTTTGATGTCATCTTATCTTTAAGAGAAGTCTTCAGGTTAGGCATTATTTTGTCTAGGGTTTGAATATCCAAGGAAACTGCAGTGCAGAGGGTCCTGAATTTGGGGCATTGAAGGCACCCTGACCTAGTGTTCCTTCCTAGTTGTCCTTTTGTCACTGTTAGGATCTCCAGTGCTCACA